GAGCAAAAAGCCTCCATATTATATGCTTCTTCAAATGGTGAAGAGCAATATAAGCAGGTTGGGTTGCTGAAGAGCATGGAGGAATCCAAGTTGTGGGGTGTTCACATCTGTATGCTTCTAGCTTCGGTTGGCACAACACAGTTTCTGTACAAGTTCATCCAGATTGTTCTGATGAGTCCAAGCTTAGTGTAAGTACCAATTTCTTTTTGAATTTTTTGCTTTACATTTTGGCTTGGACCAATTCCAAAAGTTAAATTCTTGTTGATTGTTGCAGTGCCTCATCAAAAGAGCAATATGAAATGCCATTCAGCTACAACTGGGCAACAACAAACCCTCATGATCTGGCTAACGATTTCAGCATGGATTTCTTTAGCCTGAGCTAACCATGGAAGGTGAGTTATTAGGTCTTTTAAAGAAATGGGTTGTCAACGCTTTCAATGAGAATTGATACGTTGCTGTTTGGGGGTAACGGTTGAGCTTGGAGATTCATCCTACAATTTCGATGGATTTGTTAGAACTGTGTAGTTAACTAAAGTGAAGGGATACTGATACATGATCCCATAGCCTCTTGGCCTCCTGATCTTTTGCTACTTCATCATTTGAGAAGCATTAGCAATAGAATCATGTAGAGCAGGTAAGACATTCTGATTTATCAATTCCATCTCAAGAATCAATGATGGAAAATGCAACGAACCCATTTTTTCCCTTCTTGCAGGCTTCTCAGTAAGCGTGTGATTGGGTCATGCTCTTACGTGATTCTCAAAATTTGATTGAAATTTCTGCCATGATTCAACATGCCTATCCCGCCACTCTCAAGGGCTGGAAGCTTATCTGCCCCTAAGCTTTCTGGGGATGATCAATTTTCTCCTAGCATTTTACACCCATGCAGCCAAGTTAAGAGGTTGGTCTCACTCTATAGTGTACACACTGAAAGAAAATTCCAAACAATTGAAAAGGAAGACATCAGAATATCAGAACGCACAAGTTTTCTTCATCAGAGGTGGGAAGAAAAATGTCAGACCATATTACATTACCAACGAAATTTTTCCTAAAAAAATTTCTTATGGTGCTACTTCAAACACTGTGTTCTCAAGAACAGTATTCCCATTACAATTGTAAACTAAACTCTCTGTTTTGTTGGCCTTTGAGGAGTTGTCCTTATCATTGCAGACTCTTGAGTCTTAACCTATCATCACAAGCTTAATTTTTGTCAAAGTGTTCTAAATAATAAATTCAATGCTATTTACTTTAAACTCTTAATTATATGTGTTTTCTCAACAAAAGAAAAATCCCCTTGAGGTAATTGTTTCACTAATGGCCAAAATACTTCTATTTGACATTTAATGTTAGGATACTAGTTCCGATAACACTTTCAATTTTAAAAAAATTTAATGATTATAATTCAATTGATTAATACTTTGTAAATCACATGAAGATATTTATTCAATATAAAACTATTTGTTATAACTACTGGTGGAGACGAGGTGCAAGCACGTTGAGATTGGTGGAGACAAGAAGGGGAAGGGAACGTCTGTTTTCTAAATGTGTTATTCATGCCAACTGTTATGTCGCTTTACTTTATTGCAGCAGTTGAAAAACTTAAAAGACAATATGAAATTTTGTTAAGTTTCCTTTTAGTTTTGTGATGATGTTTGTAGAGGTTATTATGGTGTTCTTTTATGCACTTAATTACATCAATTACTCTTACTATTAGCAATTGTTTGAAAAAAAAAAATTAATTGTTGACTCAAAATATCACTTATCATTTTATATTTACATGACATTGATGAAAACAATCAAATGTCACATAACTATGTTATTATGTCGCATCATCATCCATTTATGATATTTCAACATACTATGTTAACACCAAGTGATATAAAATGATAAATGATATTTTAACTAAGTCAATTGTTAATTATAAATACTTATTTGGATAAAAATAAAATTATAGTGATTTGATTGAATGCTATAAAAGAATAAAAGTTTATTTGAATATTCCTAAATAGTTTATGTTTTTTTAGATATAATGCTTATAAAATACTGTTACACATTAATTTTACCAACTCACAAGCATCACATGATATGCATTTTCTCAAAAAAAAAAAAATCTTCCTTAAGAAATTATTTCATGAAGAGTCAAAATATTTAAAGTTTACATTTAATGTTAAAAATACTTGTTCCCATAACATTTTCAATTTTGAAAAGGAATTTAGTGGTTATAATTGAATTAGTTAACTTTTTGTAAATTACATGAAGACATTTACTTAATATGAGATCGTTTTATTAAAATATGAAATATCTTAAAAGATATGAAATACTATTAGACCTATTAATTTTTCCAATTCAGAAGCTTTTCATGACACACATTTTCTCAAAAGAAAAACATATTCGGGAGGAAGTGTTTCACAAAGAGCCAAAGTTTTTAAATTTGACATTAAATATTAAGATTCTTAATTCAATAACATTTAAACTTCACGTGATAATATTTTTCTAATTATGAAAAAGAATTTGCAGACTATAATTTAATTTGTTCACGCTTTGTAAATTATGTGAAAATGTTTACTCACCTGAAACTGCTTTATTTAAAAATAAAACATCTAAATAGGTTTCCAAAAAAAATATGATCCTATGAAAATTCGTTCATTTAGAGTCAAAATATTTAAATTTGACATTAAATCTTAGAATACTTCAATAACAATTAAAACTTCATGTGACATGTTTTGTCCATTTTTGATAAAAACTTTAATGATTATAAGTCAATTGGTTAATACTTTGTAAATCATGTGAAGATATTTACTCAATATGAAATCATTTTATTAAAAGATGAAATGTCTAAATAAATATAAAATATTATGACATTAATTAATTTTGCTAACTCACAAGCATCACATGATATGCATTTTCTCAAAAAGAAAAAACTTCTTAAGAAAATTGTTTAACTAAGAGTCAAAATATTTAAATTTGACATTGAATGTTAGGATACTTGTCTTGGAAAATTCCAATTTTGAAAAATAATTTAATGATTATAATTTAATTGGTTAACATTTTGTAAATCAAGTGAAGATATTTACTCAATATAAAATCGTTTATTTAAAAGATGGAATGTTTAAATATATATATAAAATATTACTACACTTATTAATTTTACCAACTCATTTGCGTTTTCTCAACTAAAAAAAAAAATTCTTCTTGAGGAAATTGTTTCATTAAGAGCTAAATATTTAAATGTGACTTTAAATGTTAGGATACTTATTCTAGCAACATTGTCAATTTCGAAAAAGAATTTAATGATCATAATTCAATTAGTTAACGCTTTGTAAATCACGTGTAGATATTTTCTCAACATGAAATCGTTTCATTAAAAGATCAAATGTTTAAATAAATATAAAATATTATTAGACTTATTGATTTTGCCAACTCATACGCGTTTTCTCAACAAGAAAAAACCATCATCTTGAGAAAATTATTTCATTAAGAGCTAAACTATTTAAATGTGACATTAAATATTAAGATACTTGTTCTGGAAACATTGCCAATTTTGAAAAAGGAATTTAATTATTATAATTCAATTGGTTAATGTTTGTTACATCATGTAAAGATATTTATTCAATATAAAATCATTTCGTTAAAAGATGAAATGTATAAATAAATATAAAATATTATTACACCAATTAATTTTGTCAACTCATGCCCATTTTCTCAACAGAAAAAAAAAATCTTCTTAAGGAACATAAAACCGTTTTCTTAAAAGATAAAATGTCAAAATAGATATAAAATATTATTATACCTATTAATTTTGCCAACTCATACGCGTTTTCTCAACAGAAAAAAAAACACCTTCCTGAGGAAATTGTTTCACTAAAACTTAAAATATTTAAATGTGACATTAAATGTTCAGATATTGTTCCGGTAACATTGCCAATTTCAAAAAAAAAATTTAATGATTATAATTCAATTGGTTAACCCTTTATATAATCATGTGAAGATGTATATTCTTTTTTATATTTTAAAATGTTTAAACCTCAATAACATCGTCGAAACTTTTCTATAAATTCAACCCCATCCCTCTTATCAATTCACAAGTTTGTCTTTGCTTGAAGTCTTTCATTGATCATGGACGACGATCCGGAGCCTGACATAGCATTATATTTCTTTCAAAATTTTCAATGTTTCTTAAAAATGGATGGTACAGGGAAAACAA